CTGCCAACAACGCGGCGTCACCCGGACAGCCTAGAAGTCATGAACTCAAGCCGCGGAAGCCTACGTGTACATATATTTCAATGGGTTGTACACTACAGCCTCCGGCAACATACAAATTAAAATACTACGTTTTTGATAAATAGTATCCAACGGATTAGCGTTCGCTACGGAATTTCTGCCGGACCGAAATCCACGAAACTCCCCCACGCAAAACGCGCAACTCATCGGCGCGAGGCGAGGCGGGCCGCGGCGGCCAGAGCGCCGGGCGCGGAGCAGCGCGGTGGCGGGCGCACGGTCGGGCGTGCACGCTCGCACGGGCGCGCACGCGGGCGTGCGAGCGTGCGTTGTTAGCGGCGGGTGTGGCCGCGCGCGTGGTCGTGGGCGCTGGCGCTTGCGTGCGTGCGTGCCATGAAACTGTGAAGTCCGCCGCTAAAGCTCTTTTGCGCGGTAATACTGTTGATGTGGTTTGAATGTCACGGGCGACTGCCTTGGAGAGAGCGGCCGCGGCCGCACCCTGCCCTACGTCCAGTCAGCCCCGCTTCGCCCTCTCTCGGCCTGCCGCGCGCTGCCACGCCCCGTTTCGGGCTGTACCCCCGCATCCGCTCCGTCCCTCCCGGCAGGCGGGACCCCCGCTCTGCACCACTCTCTAGCTCTCGTCGTCTTTTCCTGCGCTATTTAGCTCCGTCTGGTCTAGCCCTACCTGGCTCCGCCTAGTACCGCACTGCTTCGCCCTGCCTTGCGTCCCACCTTATTTTCTCCCATCTCCAAATCACCTCGCTTCGCCCCACCTCACTTCGTCCCACCTCGTTCCGTCCCACCTCGTTCCGTCCCACCTCGTTCCGTCCCACCTCGTTCTGTCCCACCTCGTTCAGTCCCACCTCGTTCAGTCCCACCTCGTTCCATCCCACCTCGTTCTGTCCCACGTCGTTCAGTCTCAGCGCCCTCCATCTCACCTCGCTCGATCTCATCTCATTTCGTCCCACATCGCCCCGTCCCACATCGCTCCGCCTTCCTCGTTTAGTCTCAGCGCCCTCCGTTTCACTTCGTTCGGTCTCATCTCACTTCGTCCCACCTCGTTCAATACACTTCGCTGCGTCCCACCTCGCTCCGTTTCACCTCGATCTGTCCCACCTCGCTCCGTCCCAATTCGTTCAATCAACTTCGATCCTTCCACCTCGCTCCGACCTCACGAGCTCCGCACTGTCGCACCTGCATTATCAGTCCGTTAATATCTGTGAACATTTTCCCTCAACGTAATTCCAGTATTGTAAGTTAATTCTTTATTTTAATGGTCATTACGTCCGTAGTCTGTCCGTGAATCGTGCTTCAGAAGTGGCAGACCATATGCCGATAATGAGCGTTAGTATAAATGTGAACAGCAAAAAAGATCAGATGATTTGCGTAAGTAGTCAAAGAAACTATATGAAGTGTGTGAACTGGTAATTTGAGCTGGTTACTACCTTTGCGCACTTAAAGTTCGGACTGAGTGCAATGAAAGTAATGTAGGTTCATAGAAATCGCCACTTTCATTGTATCGTCCATCATACAGAAAGTACTTCCACACAGATCCTAAGCATATTAATTATTTAATTGTAATTTAAAACACAACGATTTTAACACATTACACACTCTTGATATGTGCACTAGTAAAAAATTGCATGACGTAATGGCAACGTTTCATATCTCTTCAATATGCGGAGAACGTTATATAATCCAACGTCCCGGGAGGAAGTAGTTTGGAAAAGGCGTGGGAAAGGATGAGCGATGGAGGGAGGCTGGAAGCAGGCAAGCGAAAGTCGCTTCATGATGCATCGCGGGAGGATAATGGATGATGAGCTTTCACGTGCACCAACAGATTGCCTGCGGAATGGAATGGGAGCGTACGGTTTCGAAACGAGAGATACGTATTAATACAGGGGTGCCCAAACTCACTCCAAGGAAACGCATGCGATAAATTAATGACGGCATTTGCCACTGAGTTTCTACTGACTTATCTTTCCCATAAATAAATGAATGGTTAATGTTAAATGCTTGTTGACAGTCGGTTGTGCTCCAAAAGAGTGCCTTATTGTCTTTGGGGAAATTGCATTACTACTCTCTAATGTTTGAGCAACAGCATTTGCTCTAACCCGAAAAGCTGTTGTTTCCGAAATTTCTATGTCTCAAAAGTTCAGATTTTACCTTGATTATAACAGTTTAGTATTTTTACATTCATCATAGTAATTTACTTTTTATATGTGGTTTACATCCATTTCATCCCATTAGAAAAATTTTTATATTTTATCACTAAAGTTTTTAGAGTACACCTTTTTTAGTGAATACAGTCATTCCTCCCAAAACAAGTTAATTTTTACATCTTAGCACATCTATCTATGAAACATAAACTAAAGTTAAATATTCAGAAAAATCACAGGTAGTTTATTGCAAAAAAGAATCGATGTTTCAAAAAAAACTTGGTTCTTCTGCAAGACTGACGAATTGAACCAACTTCAAATACGTTTATTACTGTTATTATTATTATTATTATTATTATTATTATTATTATTATTATTATTATTATTATTATTACTATCAATATGGCGGCAGACGTAGGTAATAGTATATAACATTGTAAATTAATCATAATTTATATTAAATATTCATATCTTTTTTGGGGCGGTTCAACTGCTATAATCATGAGTCCCGTAAGTAGTGCATGTTTTTATCAAGGGATGCGGCTCTATTGCTTCCCCGCTAGACTGTGAGATCTGGCATGAACTTACACGTTGGCTAGCGGGAAATTTTTCCCTCCAAATATACCTGCTAACGAGTCATTTCTCCATCCGGGAAAAGATCTAAACTTCTGGCTAGTCTCCTGCTATGTATAGTTAGGGCACACAATATTTAATTAGCTATGTTCAATATTTCATTAATATTAGAGCGTACCTTGGTTTCACCATTCTTACGGTCCTTGAAGATTTTTAATTCGATTCTGCATATTCGTAGTCAGAGTGACGTATGAGCCAACATTTGCTCTCTTGGAGTGAAACAGCCTTCGTGTGAGAGATGGAAAATTGCTTCACCTGTCGTCTATGAAAATTCTATCTCAGTTCAGCTTCTTTCACATTCTGAATTGAAATATCTGAAATACTGCATTCAACGGATAAGTTACAGATTGATTGTGAGTATCATATTTTCAGGTAGAAAACTAACATCTTGACGTGAACAACATCGGCAAATCGTAGCATACTCAACAATATCGTCTAAATTATTAAAAAGAGAAAAAAACACCTCAAAATATCATTGTGGAGAGCTAATAAACTTTGTTGAATGAAATAAATTTATGAATTTCACTTACAGTTAAACCGCAAACTTAACATGTTATTTCAGCATATTGCGCACAAACACAACTAACGAAATTCCCAACATCCTTAAACGCCTTACTTGCAGCTCCGCAAGTTAAGAGACACGTTACCATATATCGGCGGCAATTTCGCCTGCTTTCACTGCTCAAAGTAGCTACAGTGAATGGCGTATCATACAATAGAGAACAATATGAAGTGAAACTAAGCCCCTATACCCCATCTACGTCGATGCGCGGCACGTCTTCTCAGTGGAAATCCCACGTTCGCAGGATGTATCTGAGAATCCTTTGAAGGGCTTTCGCTGGCGAACGAACCACGAGCAAACACGGCCGTGCGTCGAGCACGCAGTACAAAGCACGAGACGAGCGCCGCCACCAAAGGAAGAGAGCTTTCCAGCACCGGATATTGGCAATTGCCGAAGCTGCTAAGCTGCTAAGGACAAGCGAGTAGATTTTTGCCGCGTAGAGAAGAACCTCAAAGGGAATGCGGTTATGCGGGAAGAACAGACGTCTAGATGTTCAAACATATAGAAAAGAGGGGTAATTACTGCACGTCTTTGATGGCAGTGGCAATAAAGATCTGAGATGAACCAAAGAGTGAATGGTCGGTCTTTCCGTAATCCCTCTGGAAGATATATATGCCTCTAACCCAATGTGAAAGCGATCATTCGTTCTTTGACCCCTCGTCATTAGATTAATAGTAATTTAGTTCATATACACATGGTGAAAATGACAATAGACAACTTGACTTTCATTGAAAATGAATAATACAACTAAACGGTTAATTAACTTAGTACTCCATTATACAAGGAACAACGTGTAAGGCACGGTAATTGTTTGTGAAACATACAAGCATTATTCACCTTATCAAACAAATTTACTTGGTTATTAAAAAGTGCTCTCAAAACACAAGTTAATCATTTCTCGCAGATCCGGTCAAGATAAACATTTCTAGTATCCTTATGAATTAACTAGTGCAGAATGCAAATACTTGAAATCTTTAAAACTCTGTCATTTATCTTGTACTGCATGCAGTCGTCTTGGAACAGTATTGAAGATATTTTCATATTTTTAACGAATTCAAACTTTCAAACTTGATGATGAAAATAACTTCCATGACAATACATGAAAAGTGGAATTACGTTTTCAAGATTTAGCAATGCTTGGAAAATAAATTTGAATGTGTGCTGTTACTTACTAAATATGCATTGATAAAGTACCCACTGATTTCAAATTGAAATTTCATTTCTGATGTCAGCTATAAATAGAATTTAATTCCCTAAAAATAATTATTTTATAAATATCTCACGGATACACTTTTTACAATTGTTTAAATCGTTATCAGTAAATTTCATAATCTATGAGTCAGACCACTTCTGTTTGCGAATAATTGTTTTTCTCTCCGAGAAGAGTAAAATCCAATCACAATAATGGTTTAGCTTCACAATTAGAAATGTTCTTTCTTACTCAAGAACACTTAAATTATAGTTCTAAATACAGATGAAATAGTTAAAAATAGTAATAAATATGTTTGTGGAGTTCTACTTAAGAAAAGTCTACATTATTAACTTATGTATTTTCCCTTTTAATGAGGGTTAGAAATTTCATATGCATATAAACACCTCCAGTATGCATGCAAAGAGCACTGACTTTTCTTAAAGAGACGATAGAGTTGTGAAGACTTGTTTATAAAAGATGTTCATGCTTTTAAATGTCACAAATATTCAATCATTAATATTTGGTTCTCAAAACAGCTTTTGTGTAATTTTCTCTTTAAAATCATAAAAATAAAATCTACTATTTGCACTAATTTAATTTTTCGTTTTATAATACATTTTTGCAAAAAAAGAAAAAAATTTAACAAACCCACCATTGAAGTGTAACAGAAGAGTTGTAGGTAACAATTCTGTTGCTATTCATTTACCCATGAACTCGCTTGTATTACTGATTTCGTGGCTGAATATGAAAAATCTAGTTGTTTACTCCGTTCTCCAATAAACAGCAAGCGCAAACATAATAATGCTGAAGAGGACATTGCATTATGGATATGCACACATTGAGGTTGAGAATTAATTTCAACCGGACTTAGTTCGTTAAACTGCAATAATCATTGATATTCCGCAATAAGGTTTTAACTATTATTTGTTATTGTAGAACAAATGTAAATTTAGGAAGAGCTTCAGATAATGCAAATATTAATGTTCCCAAGATTATGATTCAATGGACATATTATGAGAAAACTTAGAAAACTAGTAGTGATACTTTACTTCTATTTTTTGCAATTTTCATTAATTTAGACAGTTCAACTAAAATTTTCCATTTTCTAAGCGGACTTCTGAACTTACGAGGACTAAATTTAAAAAAAAACTTAAGAACCATTCTTGACGAAAAGAATTATAAATGCATTAATTTGAAGCCGACATTGTACATGACCTTTATTGAATGTCAATTTTTAGATTAATTTCATTTTTAAAAAAATTTCTGCCGTTAATATTGTACTTGTAGTATATTTAATATTGTAATTTTTTGCAATTTTTGAAAACGCGGTGTTTCCCGAAAATATGATCAGAATAATACTTTATAGTTCTCTGCTGCCTACATAGGTGGAATTAAAAAAAATTAGAT